ATTTCAAACTGCAGACTATGTCACTGTTTAGGGAGGTTTTTCATTCACTAGTTGCTAGAAAATTTATGTTGCAAAGAAAAGTGAAAAAATATCAGAACAAGTTGACTGCTCGTCAAACAAAAATCACTTTTTCTTTCAATGTTGCATGCTTTTCTTTCCTGTCTATTCAATTTATTACTGGCAAAGTTAGTTTTGTTCCTTGTTTCACTTTACCTTGGCCAGTGGCATTGTTTATCATAGAGCACGGCAAGACAAGATTAGATTAGCAATTTTTTTTAAATCAAAGTAAAAATAAGTTTGTTCTTTATGGCAGCAAGCAGTTCTACGACTACTACTACTACTGCTGCTTCTTTGGTCTGCCGTCTGGGCGCCATCATTGACGCCACCGCTGATAGTGATGACCAGACAATGACGCCGACACTTTGCTTATCGTTTTAAGAATCAAAAAAGGTAATTCTTGTTTGCCGACGCACATTTATCACTGTGACACATCATACTTTTCCTTATCTGCACAATTTTTCTCTGATGAAGCGGTCACTACGAGTGCAGTGGCTTTAGTTTTTGGTTTGGTTGCTCAAATGGCCTTTGCAACTCATTTTTTGGTAGACTTCCAAATGAGTTTGCAAAAAATAGGTAGTGAACAGTTTGCAAACATGTCACTGACTGCCAGGCTGCATTCTATCCTTCTCTTCACTGTTTTTAGTTTATAACATTTTTGTCTTTTTGTCTGTTTGTTTGTCTGTCGTTGACTTGTCACTGACTTGCTTACCAGTGCACTCTCACCATTTTTACCAATTTGACAAGGCAGTCAACTTATCACCATCAGTTTCAATACTGATAACAGTAGTGAAAATGTGGTGATTAAGAGAAAACAGTGTTAATAAAGCAACTTTTCTATTTTAAATTAAACTTGCACTTGCAACAGTAAAAGTTCATTATAGTGTCAAAACGCTAAAAAATATAAACTCAAAGTTTTACTTGATTAAAACAATAAAAAATTGATTTGTTCAGTTTTTTGTGTCATTTGAAAATGTTTTTAAATTAGTTAAAATTTGTTTTAAATTGTAGTTTCAAGTCAAAAATAACCTTCATGTCGTTTTTAAAGTTTTGTATTTGTATTTTAAGCACAAAATTTGCACTTAAACTTTACACGTTCATGCAATTTGATTAATCTGCTCATCACCTAATCACCATTTCTCATGTAAACTAGCATAAGTGTCATTTGCTAGTTGAAATGGCAGAAACAGCTTGAGTGACAGTTTGATAGTTGCACCCACCAAAGCACTGACACGAGCAGGCATCTTGAGCTCACCTGTGTGCCCTTTCTGCTGCTGCTGTTGCAGCGAAGTAAGTTGCATTGAGCTTAAGTGATCTCAATTAAAGCTAAAGCTCTTCTGTGATTAGCAGAAACGTTTTTGACACATTTAAAACTAAAATGGACTTTGAGTTTTAAGTAGTTTTGTAAAGTACAAACGACAAACTAAATACATTTTTAAAAAATAACTGTTTCTAAATAATAAATTGAGTAGCGGCCCATAGGCCGCTAGCGACGTGGCTTTGAGAGTTCGAAGTTACGTCGCCTGTTTGTGTATATAAGCAGCTCCTCTTTGCCATTAAAAGTCAGTCTGGACTACGTATGCTTGTGTTCACTCTCACTCAGCGCTTCTATTGTTTTTATTAAGTAAAAATAAAACTTTTGTTGTTTAAAAACCAATCAGCACTAGCCACTACTGGTCAGTTAATGATGCAAACGATGATGATGATGATGATGACAATGAAGATCAGACGACTAGGGACATTTACTTAGTGCTGGCCGGCATTGCAGCATTATTGTCAAACACCATTGGCGATCCGAGTTTCAAACAGTGCCAGCAATAAAGCCATTTTCCACTATCATCGCCGCTGATCAGAAGTTCAGCAGTGCCGCGATAGCTTGCCTAATGAATGTCCCCGCGTAAAATGTTTTTACACAAACACACACCGCTAGAATAGCACGCTAATTACCCGCTCACTTAGGAGAAGAAAGAGAAGAAGAAAAAGAAGAAGTCACTGTCACTGGCCAGCCACTGGTAAGCTACTGCTACTACTTTTGTTGTCTTTCTTTGTCCGCCAGCCGACTGCTGAATTCAGAGAACATTCTCTTTTCTCTCCATTCCTTTTCATGTCCAAAAACAAGTTCTACTGTCTAGTGTAAAGTTCTAAATTCTGTTTGTTTGCTTAGCCCTGGGCAGTGTCCATCAAAAAGCTAAAGGATGAGCTACTAACTAAGAAGACATAGTCGTGGCTATTGAATGCAAAATGTTGGGCTGATTTTTTGGCGCAGTGTCGGCAAAAATTGCCTAATTGGACGCAATTCGCCGTTTGCTCCTTTAGCTTTTTCCTCTGTTCTCCTGTTCACCAATTGATTGCCCGTGTCGAATTTGTTGCCGTTGCTGTTGTTGCTGCCAATAGTTAAACAGTGAAACAGTACTGAGCAGTCAGATAAAGAATTGATAGCAATACTCGTTTTAGTTGCTACTACTGTTACACCACACAACAGTTCTTCCTTCTATTCTTATCACCTTGTCAGTAGCAAACAGGGAGACAACATGAACAGAGCACATATGTATTCAAAATGCTTTAAAATAGACATTACCATAGTATCACTATCATTATTTGAAAATGTAAAACATGCAAAAATAAAGGTAAAGAAGGAAGAGAAAAAACATTTCTAGTAATAGTGGTCACTAGTACAGGCAATTAATTTGACATTTGCCACTGTTTAAACAAATTGAAAATTGGCTTCTAAACGGTTGTTGCCTTTTGTTTGACTGTGACACGCTTCTCCCGCTGTTGACCACACAAAAAGTCTGAAAGATTGCTACCGTGTTTGAACGAGGACGACCATCATTGGGTGGCCTAATCAGTGCACTGTTCTCCTCGTTGCAGGTCTGACCACCTTTCACCCAAGTTGACAGGTCATTTTTCAGCAGATAATGACTGAAACACACTAAGTACGGAAGCACCTTTCGTTCAGCTTCAAATTGGTTTTTGCTGTTTTATAGGATTTAAAACTCAATCAAGGAACAGCCTAGTTACAAGTTTTTATTTTGAAAAATATTTATCTGACTTTTTAGCATGCGTATTAGTAATATTAAAAAACATTGCGCAAATTAAAACTTTAATTTTTGTTGTTGTTTAATTTTAAAACAAGCTCTAATAAGTTTATAATGATTAAATTTTAATAACTTTTTATGTTTTTGATAATGACCTTTACAACTATTACACCAGGAAATTGAGCTTTGAAAACTTTATTTAAAAAACTGTTGTATATTGTTGTCTGCTCTAAAACAAAATTTTCATTTATTTAATCTTCTAAAAACAAACTTTTGCCATTAATGCCTAAGTGGAAGCAATGTTGTTGTTGTTTTTGTGGCTGTTAATGTGCAGTTCAGACAATAATTTTTTACACATTTTTAATTTTTGCTGCTATTTTACTTAAAACTATTCAGTTTACTGACAATAGTTTTTGTAAACTTTAAAACAGCAAATGCAATATCATGTCAGATATACTCAATTTCAAATAAATTCATTATTCAAATAATATTAATTTTGTGAACTTCAATCGGTGGAGACATCTCATGTTAGAGAACTAAAACACCAGTGAAAACGCGCCTGTTTGTGCTCAGCACTGCTCACTGTGGCACTTCTCGCCTACAGATTTCTGCACTGCTGCCTTGCACTTTGGCGTAGCGCACCTTCACAGGCGGCCATTTCCACCAGCAAAACTTGCTGCCAAGGCACAATAGCCTGCACACTAGTTCTCAAAACTTTGCGTTCTGTCAGCAGAAGTTTTTGGTTTTTGAAAGCCAATACAGAGACAAACAGATATTTCTTTGCCAACCGTTCACGCTGACTATTCAAAACTAAAGAAAACTCCCTTAAAACAGAAAGACTGATATTCTTCAGTTGTTGTCACCTCAACTAATGTAAGTGCTTTGAAAGAAAACTGCCTAGTCATCGGCTAATGTTTTGTTTTGTTTTTACTGTTTACAGCCTCGGTACAGACACCAAACTTTGTCCTGTGAACTTGCTTCCCATCTTCTTTTTTGAGTTGGCCACCACTATCACTACCTTCTGAAAATGGCCGATAACGAAAACGACGTTGACATGGAGGGAAACAACAACAGCTCAGCACAGCCGTCCACATCGGCTGGCCCGTCGACTAGAAGTGGAAGAGGTGGTGGGCGGAGGAGCACAAACACCACCACCACCACCACCACCACCACTCCCGCCGCATCCTCATCTGCGTCCACCTCCACCGCCGCCGCCCCCGTCGCCTCCACCAGCTCTGCCAGCTCTTGCCCCCACCAGGGTCGTCGCTTTGAGGTGAAGAAGTGGAGCGGCATCGCCCTCTGGTCGTGGGACATCACCGTGGACAACTGTGCCATCTGCCGCAATCACATCATGGACCTGTGCATCGAGTGCCAGGCGAACCAGGCCAATCCCGACCCGGCGGCGGAGTGCAACGTCGCCTGGGGCCACTGCAATCACGCCTTTCACTTTCACTGCATCAGCCGCTGGCTGAAGACTCGCCAGGTGTGTCCGCTGGACAACAGCCAGTGGGAGTTCCAGAAGTACGGCCACTAAAGTCGGGTAGTGTACTCGAGTAGTGTCGCTGCTTGGCTTCGTAACCACCACCACCACAACAACAACAAAAACGACGGCACTCATCTAAAAAATCAAAACAAAGAAATCTCTTTTAATACCCACAATAAGACTTTGCTTATCTACACTCCACTTTGTACTTCCGACAGTATTTGTAATTTGCTGGATATTTTTTTGCATTTGCAAATACTTCTCTCATTTTTCTCTCTTTTTTATTTTCTAATAAACAACTCAAAATTTTCATTTGGTTTGACATAGTGATTTGTGCTCCAGTGTACTGATCAAATGTTGGCGTTTATTAACATATCTTTGCATGTTTTCTCAGGTTCGCAGTTAGCTTTAAAAGTGCTCACCCTTGATGAAGCGGGTAATCAAATCGGCGGCCACTCGAGGCTGATCCCGCGAAACTACATGACCGGAATTACGGACCACTGCAAAAGTCAGATTGTCCAGCGTTTTCACATAGCCGGCCACTGAGCGATCACTGGGCGCCACCTTCCACACTTTCCGCTCTGCCGCGTAGAAGGACCGATTACCCGAGCTTCCCCATTGAAGTCCGTTGAGAAAGTCCTCGGTGAGCGTCGCCGCTACTATAATGTCCAGGTTGCCGTTGTAGAAGAGCATCCGATAGCGGCCAGCGGCCAGCAGCTCCTCAATCCACGGCCGGACGCTGCTGTAGATGTCTGCCAGAAGGTGGCCGATGACGGCGGGGGAGCCCTCGGTGAAGGCGGTTCCAGTGCCGGCGTGCAACGCCCGCCGAGTGCTGTTCTCGCGGACGTACGCGTAGGGAAACAGGTACTCCACGGGCATCTCCTCCACATTGAGGTTGTACACCCACCTCAGCCCGGTGACGTTGGTGAAGTAGCTCGGTTTGGGCGGCTTTCCATCCGTGGAGATGCCCAGAAAGAGCTCGTTCACCAGCTCCAGCGCCTTCACCGTCTGCCGCTGGTCAATCAGTGACCGGGCCTCGGACTGAACCGTTTGAAAGTGGTCTCGCTGGCGCCTGTCAAGCAGACCTAGTTTCCAGAGAAAGTCGCCGTAGTTGAGCTGATTTCGAGGGTCGCAGAGGCCGTTGCCGATGGAAAGACCTTGTAGGTTGACGCCATCCTCTTTCGTCTGCTCGGCGCTCAGCAGGTGAATGTGGTGACCGACTGCGGGCACGTACTTTCCGCCGTAGCTGACGCCGGCGACAAAGAGCGGTGTCCCGCGGTACTCGCTGAAAAGCACCAGAAACTGCCGAAGTGCATTGTAAATGTCGATGCCCACTCTGGTCTCGTCCGTCGCGTAGCCGCCCTCCTGGTCTGTGAAAGAGAAACCGGTGCCGACGGGGTTGTCAATGTACAGCACGGCAAACTGCTCGTTCCAGCTGTGCTCGTGCAGACGAGGAACTACGCTTTTCTTATCGGCAGAGAGCACCAGCTCGAGAGGGCCGTTCTCGAGAAAGACGGCCGAAAAGCCGGAAGCGCCAGGGCCGCCGTTAAGCCAAAGAATCAACGGAACGTCCTTTGTTTGGCCATTCTGTTTTTGAAACAGGAAAAAACATGATAATTAGATATTGAGTTGTTGACAAAAAAGTTTTTAGAATGGTCGCAACCATTTTCCCTCACTTTTGCCGGAAAGAACCAAAAAAAGGTGTTTGCATTAGTAGTCGTGTTGATGGTCAGGTAGCCTGAGTAGCTTTTTAGGTGCTGTGAAAGGTCCAGGCCAGGAATGGCGGTCACCTCACTCAAATTTCTGCCCTCGCTAATTTTGCCGTTTTCAATGTACGGCGTCAGTAGGAGGGGAAGGTCATCATTGTGCTGCTGCTGTTGATTTGCGCTACTGGCAAGGCACGAAGCAAAACTAGAGCACACCAACAATCGTAACAACACTGTTAGCGCGGTCAATTGTTTCATTTTGCAACACACAAACTAATTATAAAAACCTAGTTGTTAGCAAGCTTTTATGTATGCCAACATATATAAAAATTTTAGTTATTTTTATCATTTAGTTGTTGTATCTAATTTAATTGTTTTGCAACTGATAACTTTTACTTATCAATTTAAAATTTAAATTAGTGTCTCATTTTTATTAGATATAAGTTAATTAAGATCAAACTAATTACAATTGTTAATTATTTTGTGATCAGTTATGATTTTCTTGCTTGCTATTTTTGGAATATTGCCGTATTATCAATTTTTATTTTTAATTATAGTGTACTTGTGTTATCAATATTTTTAAAAATTACATACTGATAATTGTTTAAAACAAGAGTTTATTAGAGTAAAGTGTGACACCAAAGAAAACGCAATAACACACTGTTTGTTGTGTGTTTTGTTTCATTTACAAGTGATTAGAAATTTTAAATTGACAAATTTTTATATAATGCAGTTTTTTGTATAAACATTTTTTATTCGGATCGTATTGTTGTAGACATTAGCTGTTGATTTGTAACTAAAGCTTGCCTTTGAAGTTGTCTGGTAAACATTTTTAGGAAGAATGAGCACTGGTACGGTTTTTCACTGGTGTTCCTGTTTAAGAAATTAATTGCTTTTTTATCTTATTGAAAAACACAGATTAAAGTTACCTTAAAAAAGACACGGCGTTGTCTAAATTTTATAGTTAAATGGTCAAAACACAATTTAGTTTTTTAGTTCAGCAAAAAAGTCATTTCTACTAAATGTGAAAAAAGAAAGTAAAATAGTGGTCATCAAGTTGTTTACAAAAAGAGCGCGTTACTATATGCTGTCCAACATTTTATTGCTTAAAATATTTTGATAAAAGGTGAAATTAATGGTCAAAACAATGCAAACTCTTATCAATATTGCCTAGTCAGGCTTTATCTCTATTGTACCCGATTAGAACGACATTAATAGGAGCTGACTATGTTCCGTTGACATCTGTTTGGCGTTGGTGAAAGTGCTAAGAACTAATCAATGGTTATAAAAAGAGATCTTTTTGTTGAGAGAGCAATGCAAACTTTTAGCAATATCATTTAGTCGGGGTTTATTTTTATTGTACCCGATCAGAATGATTTCGATAAGAGTTGGCTAAAGCCAGGTGACTTCAGTTTTGCGGTGTTAAATGACTTTGCCAGAAACCGGCTATATTCAGTTAACTTCAACTTGATGTTCAGTGGTTAAGGTTCTAAAAATAATTTAGTTGTCATAACAAAAGATTTTTTTGATGAGAGAACATTGCAAACTCCTATCAATATTAGCTAGTCAGGTTTTACTTGTATTGCACCTGATTAGAATAACATTGACAGGGGTCGGCTATATTTAGTCGACTTCAAATCGGTTTTGGTGAAGGTGCTAAGAAATAATTAATAGTTCAAAAAATGTATCTTTTTGTCAAGAGAGCATAGCAAACTTATGACAAAGTCGCATTATCAGCTTGTATTATTGATAAACCTGATAAAAATGACTTTGCCATGAGTTTACTTTGTTTAACTGATTTCAATTTGGCGTTGGTAGAGGTGCTAAAAAATAATCAATGGTCAAAACAAGGGTCATTTTGTAAAGCAAATTCCATACAATGTTTATGTGATAAGTATTCTTTATTGCACTTTATTACAATAACATAGCATGGAATCGCTTCTATTTAGTTTATTTTAGTTTGGTGCTAGGGAGGATCCTAAGAATTAATCAATGGTTATAACAAAAAATTTTTTTGTTGAGAGAACAATGCAAACTCCTATCAATACCACCTAGTCAGGCTCTATCTGCATTGTACCTGATTNTAGCATGGAATCGTTTCTATTTAGTTTATTTTAGTTTGGTGCTAGGGAGGATCCTAAGAATTAATCAATGGTTATAACAAAAAATTTTTTTGTTGAGAGAACAATGCAAACTCCTATCAATACCACCTAGTCAGGCTCTATCTGCATTGTACCTGATTAGAGTGAGATTGATAGAAGTCGCCTATGTTCAGTTGATTTCAATTTGGCTTTAGTGAGGGTGCTAAGAAATAATTAATGGTTATAAAAAGGTATCTTTTTGTTGAAAGAACATTGCAAACTCATGACAAAGTCACGATGTTAGATTGTATATTTGCTGTTTCTAATAAAAATGATTTTGCCATGAGTTTACTTTGTTAAACTGATTTCAATTTGGCGTTAGAAAAAGTGCTGAAAGATAATCAATGGTCAAAATAAGGGTCATTTTGTAAAGCAAATTCCATACAATGTTATAGCATAAAGTCTTCTTTATCAGCCTATCCCTAAAAAAATGATTTTTCTCTATTTCTCTATTTCTCTGCACTGACTCTTTTTGCTCTACAAATTACACCGTTTGAGATATCGAGATGCGGTTTTCACCAGTAGAACGAGATAAATGGCATCTTTCTAATGATACCAAACTNAAGGATCTTAAAAATTAATCAATGGTTATAACAAAAAATTTTTTTGATGAGAGAATATTGCAAACTCCTATCAATATTAGCTAGTCAGGCTTTACTTGTATTCCACCTGATTAGAAAAACATTGATAGGAGTCGGCTATATTTAGTTGACTTCTTTTCGGCGTTGGTGAGGATGCTAAGAAATAATTAATGGTTATAAAAAGGTATTTTTTTGTCGAAAGAACATTGCAAACTCATGACAAAATCGCATTATCAGCTTGTATTATTGATGCACCTGATAAAAATGATTTTGCCATGAGTTTACTTTGTTGAGCTGATTTCAATTTGCCGTTAGTAAAAGTGCTAAAAGATAATCAATAGTCAAAACAGGGGTCATTTTGTAAAACAAATTCCATACGATGTTATTGCAATAAGTTTTCTTTATTGCACTTTATTACAATAACATAGCATGGAATCGACTCTATTTAGCTGATTTCAGTTTGGTGCTGTGAAGGATACTAAGAATTAATTAATAGTTATAACAAAGGATCTTTTTGTTGACAGAACATCGCAAACTCATGACAAAGTCACAATATTAGCTTGTATATTTTCTGTACCTAATAAAAATGACTTTGCCATGAGTTTACTTTGTTTAGCTGATTTCAATTTGGCGTTAGTAAAAATGTTAAAAGATAATCAATAGTCAAAACAAGGGTCATTTTGTAAAGCAAATTCCATACAATGTTATAGCATAAAGTCTTCTTTATTGCACTTTATTACAATAACATGGCATGGAATCGACTTTATTTAGTTGATTTCAGCTTGGCGTTGAGGGAGATTCTAAAAAATTAATCAATGGTTATAACAAGAGGTCTTTTTTGTTGAGAAAACAATGCAAACTCTTATCAATATCGCCTAGTCAGGCTTTATCTCTACTGTACCCGATTAGAGCGACATTGATAGGAGCTGACTATGTTCAGTTGACTTTTTTTCGGTTTTGGTGAGGATGCTAAGAAATAATTAATGGTTATTAAATGGTATTTTTTTGTCGAAAGAACATTGCAAACTCATGACAAAGTCGCATTATCAGCTTGTATTATTGATGTACCTGATAAAAATGACTTTGCCATGAGTTTACTTTGTTGAGTTGATTTCAATTTGCCGTTAGTAAAGGTGCTAAAAAATAATCAATAGTCAAAACAGGGGTCATTTTGTAAAGCAAATTCCATACAATGTTATTGCAATAAGTTTTCTTTATTGCACTTTATTACAATTACATGGCATGGAACTGACTCTATTTAGTTGATTTAAGCTTGGCGTTAAGGTAAATTCTAAAAAATTAATCAAAGATTATAACAAGGGGTTTTTTGTTGAAAGAACAATGCAAATTCCTATCAGTACCACCTAGTCAGGCTCTATCTGCATTGTACCTGATTAGAGTGAGATTGATAGAAGTCGGCTATGTTCAGTTGATTTCAACTTGGCTTGGGTGAGAGTGCTAAAAAACATTCAAACAGTTGTCAAAAGATAGAGAGCAAGTGCTTTAAGGTTGAAAGGTGGAAAAGAAAAACGTTAAATCATCGTAGGGACACATGCATAAAGTACGTTACGCCATTTGTATCACGGCTTCACAACAAGGTAAAAGTAAATCTGCTGAAATAATTACTACCACTTGGTGGCAGTTGACTGGTGACTAAGTGCCACACACAGACAATGACAGTGATCATCAAACTTAGTGTCCACTTACCCAAACAAGCACGGCCTGATCAGTACATGCCAGAGGTACCATCTTTTCCATGATCTCTTCCAAGTGACAATGAAGATTGTTCTCGTGGCTGCTCAGATCTAGACACCACGTGCTCAGCTTCGACAATTGTGTTCACCGTTTAAAGTAAAGGTAGAATGAGCAATGCGCTGTTCTCCAGTGGTGACTCTGAGCTCGAATGAAACTTGCACAAGCGCTAGCACTAAACAGAGTAGAGAGGAAAGGACTGAGCTGGCTAAAAAGGCTAAAAGCACAGTCCATGAAAGCAACAGGCCACAGCAACAACTGCGGCATAAACGAGAGGCAAAGGGGAGAGAAAAGGAGAGGAGAGAATGAGAAGGTAAACGCATCTGGCACCGAGCTGGCATAGGCAGCTCTCCAGCTCGATTCGCAACCTGGCCGGAATTGGTTGCTAGGACTCGCACTTCCTGCCAACGAGCAAAGAAAGAGAGAAAGAGAGAGAGAGAGAGAGAGGCCCCTTCATGGCTAATGGCAGTTTTAACTGCCAAGCTAGTTGCCGTGCTGCAGGGTAGCCTATAAGTGGCCGCCGACACTCTGCACTTCGCTCTACACTATTGGTTTCCTCGGTGTTCCTCGCTGAGTTCACAATTCGTTGAACAGGCTAGAATGGCAAGCAAGCCTGTTGAGTCTGGTTTGACTGTTTGCGGTGGGAAGACGATGATGCAAGTGGGAACCGAGAGAAAAGAAGGGCAATCTGCTGTTTTCTGTAATTGGTGGGGCTCCTTTCTCAGCGGGGAAAAGGTTTTGCGTCGCGATGCTGTTGCGCTGTGGGTCCCTTACGCAGCAAACG